AAGGTTAACACAAGTCCATTCAGACCGCAGGGTAACCCCGTAGAACGCGCTCATAGGACCTTAGCCGAGTACTTAAGACATTATGTAGATAAGAATTTAAATAATTGGGACCATTTACTACCCTTTGTATTCTTTGTATATAATTCAACGGTACATACTTCTACTAATTTTCAACCATACGCATTAGTCTATGGACGTACGTTGGAGGTACCGATTAGATTAAAAGCCGAACCTGAACCACGTTACAATTATGATGATTATATATTCGATCTAAAAGAAAATATGCAAATTTCGCATAAAATAGCTAGAGATCATTTAATTAAAAATAAAATAAAAAGTAAGGAACGTTATGATAAAAATGAAAACCCACAAGAACTACACGTTAATGATTTAATATTATTAAAAGATAATAATCATAGAACGAAACTCGATCCAATCTGGTTAGGACCGTACGAGGTCACAGCAGTTATAGGGAACGAGAATGTAGCTATACAGCGAGGCCGCAAGGTCATCACTGTACATAGAAATAACGTAAAAAAATATTATAATGACGCACAAGTCGATTAAAAAAAAAAATAGCAATAATAAAAAAAAAATAATGGTAATAAGTATATAGCAAACATTAAGTTAGAATAATTATGTTAATTTTAGGAATAGAAACCGAACATTCATTTTGAAACTGGAAGAAGAAATAGTAAATGGGAACCACGATACAACCAATTTAGGCATAGAAAAATTTCCGAAATGTTTTATAGAACACATAACTATAGCAAATAATAAATTAACCGAACCGTACACCGAAGCGGATTTAAGTGAGATCACACGTAACATAAAGGGGTTTCTGTATGTTATGACAGAAAATAGAATAGAAAATCTGGAAAAAATTAATTGTCAGGACCTAATTGAATTTATCGACGTTATACCAGAGCCAGAGGACCTACTTTATTACAAAAACTAATTCTCAGAAAATAATTAATAAACTAATGTAATAAAACGGATTCAGATATAGATAAAAAAACTAATTTATTAAACAAAAATATACATGATAGTTAACATCATGAAAATAAATTCAATTTAATAAACAAGTTTTTTTATTATTATTCGGATTCGTCTTCCTCATCGTCCGAAATTAATATTCTTGACACAATATGTTGCGGCAAAGGGGTAAAACCCTCCGGCCATTCAATCTCCATAATAATGTCCGGCCCTCGAGCTAATAAAAATAATTTAAAAAAAAAAAATAATTAAATAAATTCTTAAGCAAAACAAAAAAAATATATACGCACGGTTTCGAATGACATATATCCGAGTACGGGTTTCATCAGGTTCCATGCTTCCTTGAATAATAAATCTAATCAAAAAAAAAAAAAAATATATACAATAAAAATAATAGCAAAAAAATAAATACGATAAAAAAAAATAAAAATTTTAATTTTAGGGACAGACAAAGAAAATTCATTGAGGAACTAGGAATGGCAATCGAACAGGAAATACACGAAACATATACTTTAGGACCGGAACACACACCGAGGTGTCTAATAGGACATATTAATACAGCAAATAATTTTATGGAGGAACCATTTGGTACTCTTGAAATAACAAAAATTACGCAAATTATAACATTAATTATGTACGATTTGTCATCAGATTCGGTAACACCCACAAATACTTTGTGTAAACGGTTAATAGATTATATGAAACTCTTACATGATGCTAAAGATATTTTAGATTATATAAGATGGTATTAATTTTATAAGATTATAATAAGATAGTTAGTTTAATATAAATATACTTTGTACTTTTAGATTGGTGATGGTGACGAGTTTTCTAGTCAATATTATTGAATCTGACGAAATAAATACATCAGAGTACTTTTCGTATACGCCTTATGGAGTTGGCAGGGGTATACAATATGAAGGGTTGGGGCCAGTTAGATTAATAGGGGCTCAATACAATCTTGTAATGTTTTACTCATTAAAAGAATATAATACGAAATATGAACTATTGGGGGAAAAAATTAAAAATATAACAAATTTATGTACTGACCAAAAACATCAAGATTTATGTGGGAAATATCAATTAGTAATTACAGACTTATATAACGAAATAACTAAACAGAAAGAACGTACATATATGTCGCTAGGAAGTACTATGGAGGACATTAAAAACAACAGAAAGAAAAGGGGATTAATAAACATAATAGGTAACACCATGCATACGTTATTTGGCATATGTGACGACAAGTGCACTAAGAAAACACAAGAAGCTATACAAAAAACGGAAGAATCAGGAACTAATATATTACACATAATGGCAGCTCAAACTACTGTAGTAAAATCAACAATAAGAAGTATTGGTAACACAATAAATCAAACCGAACAATTATACAATAATATTACGGAAAAGGAACAAAAACTAAACGAAAAAATGTCAAAAATACAAAACAAAACAAATGATATATTAGATTTACTAATGAAAAATGAAATACATAATTTATATACAATAATTATTAATCAATATTCATACGAAACAGAAATATTAGGACAAATAGTAACTGCCGCTAGAGAAGGTATGATACATCCAAGTCTTATGACACCACAAGAACTAGCATCAACATTAAAAGCAATAGAACAAAGTATAAAGAAAATATACAGTATTCCGATGGGAACAAAGAGATATGAAATAAATGAATTTCAAAAAATTACAAAAATAAGAATCTACTATTCGAACGACAGATTAGTATTCGATATAGTAATACCACTAATTATTGACACTGAACTCACATTATACAGGTTAACACCAGTACCAATGCGTCATAACCAAGATAATTCTAGTGGATGGTACATGATGGACATTACTTATAATAATATTGCTGTAACCAAAGGCTATAAAAAGTTTACTACATACACAGATCAACAATTAAACGAATGTAAAGAAACATCAATATACAAAATATGTAATACACCACAACCTATACAGGACAACAATGAACGCCAACCATGCGAAGTACAAAACTTTTATAAAGCTGACACGTATGCTAATCCTGAGTTATGTACAGTAAAGAAAATAAATTTAAAAAGAAGCATATACCAAAAATTAAAAAGAAAAAATACATGGATTCACGCAGGAAAAGAGACTTTAACTGTAAGTTGCGCGAACTTAATAGACTCATTTATAATACAAACAAATGATGCAGGAGTAATAGCTATAAACGACATTAGTTGCCGAGTGTATGCACGGGACGCAGTATTAACTGCCACGGAAGAAATCCAAATTACAAAATATAAAGACTTTACACCTGTAACTAACATGAATAATATTTTAGAAAAAATACCCGAACATATACACAAATTCGAAACAGATGAAAAATGGGAAAAGGGACTAGCTATGCAATTCACAGATTTACACGATGCATCCAAATCTTTAGACGAAGTACAACAAATGATTAACCAAGAACTTTCAAGAGAACAAAATCAAAAGCATCAATTTGTACACAGTAATTTACTATATGTAACAATAATACTGGCAGTAATATCTATTATACTAATAATAGCAATCTACATAATGATAAAATGCAAGTATATCAGGTCCACAGAAGTCATGGAATTTCCCGGCAGAATAGTTAGATATAGGGCACCCAATAGAAATGACTACATACGAAATTATGAAGAGACACCCTTTACTCCACCCCCTTCACTAAGATAATAAAATAAATTAATTAATAAAATAAATAATAAAAAAAAATAATAATAAAATATAAGTTAGAAAAAATAGTAATAATATAGAAATAATAATAATTATAATAGAGGTAAACAATTAATTTAATAAATAAATAAGAGCTAGGTATATGTAAACTATTAAAGAAATACTATATATATAATTATGTTTCAGGAAACAATCAAGAGGGATTTCGAAATAAATATAATAAAATATATAAACATGAGCGAACCCACACCAATGCCTGAGCCTAATGTTTTTTATAAGGAACTGAGGGATAGGTTAATAAATGATACACATGATCAATTGGTACTAAGGAACACAATATATGTACGTTGTTTTAGACAACACGTAATAGACGCAAATAATAATATGCAAATACCTTTTAACGAAACTGAACTTGAAAACGTTATGGGTCCGTTAACAGCCTTCTTTTGTACTAGATGTAACCGCGAACCAGCCTGTAATTCAATGTGTTTGAAAATCGCAGAAATATTAGATCAATATTATATTCAACACCAAATTTACAGTGAAGAACATATTCGATAAATAAATTAAACAAAAAAAAATATATAAAATAAAATAATAATAAAATATAATACGTGCATAAGGAAATAATACGTAAAATAATATCCTATAATTTAAATAAATAATATTACGTGCAATAATATATACATATACGTAAATAATATTCTAAATAATACTTATATAACAATAACTTTTAACTATTTCAGAAATTAAGAAGAAAACAAAAAAATATATATAAAAACAAACGTAAAAATTTTAAGTACAAAATGGGTGAAAACATACCACCTGTAGCACGAACCGTTCGAATGCAACTACAAACATTTGAGTTTCTCAGAGAGTTAAAAAACGAATTAATTGAATCAACCAATCATACACAAATAATGCGAGGGGAAGTGATCAGATTACATTGCTTCCCAGAACATATAAGAAGGGCAAATAGTAATATGACCATACCTTTCAGGCCGAATTTCTTAGCACGGGTCATGATCCATGTTAACGATTTTGTACGCACAGTTATCTTAAGACCAAATCATAATCGACCAATGTGTGTAGAGTTGGGTTTACTAATAGAACAACTAATCAGACGACGCGAAATCATTGAAACGATTTTCGAAGAATAACCTCAGGAAACTATATCATATATCATGTACCATATATCATATATCATATACATAGCAATAAATACTAAAAAAAAAACCAATTTAAGTTTTTATATATAATTATTTTATTTTAGCTCACAGGTACGCTTTTTTATAATGGATTTCGAGTTCTTTACCGTCAGTAAGAACGAAACGATACTGGTATCCGGCGCGATATCGAATAGTTTAGAAAAATACCAACCCAAGAAATTGGAGGGGAGTCCTCTTATACTTACAAAGGATGATAAGTTAAGAAGATTCCGCCGATGCGACCTAAAGAAAACAGTGCAGAATATCAAACGAGTATTCCGAGGGAAAAAGGCAAGAGTGATTGAACCATTGCTGGAACAGTTATACATTAGTATAAGTCGGCAGGGGGAATCAACCTTGTCTACGGTATACTTGCAAAGATATTTGCACATAAACGATAATGAGCCACTAATAGTATTTTGGAACGGAACGTCAGATATCACGATAATTAAGCGTTTAAGATTAACAGGAATTTTAGCATATTTAAATATATCGGCAATTAGCGTTAGGAATAATGACGAATTTGTATTAGAATTATCAAACCTAGAGACTAAGGAAGTTTTATATTCAGGTTATTTAGGTAAATTAAATAAAAATGGTAGAATGTTAGGACTATCAGAAGCTCATGAACTAGCATGCGATATTAATCATAATATTACACATTGTCACGATCCAGTTGCAGACGTAATTTTAACGAAATGCCTATTCAATTACATAGTAACAAAGATAAAGCCCATTAAATTATATAAATTAGCAAAAAAATATAAAAGGAATTTTAAAGGCAAAATAAATAATAATTATTAGTCAATAAATAAATATAACACAAAATAAATTAAATAATGAAAACAAATACATAAATTAACATTTATTATATATTTTAGATTCATTGAGGAGCTAAAAACAATTTTAAAAACAGAAGTACATATTTATAACGTTAAAGAAAATAAGTTACAATCCGTATGCTTTAATTGGCATATATTAAAGGCAAACAAGAAAATAAATAACCACTACGATCATAAAACTTTAAATAAAATAACTAGAAGCCTTGAACTTTTCATAGACGATCATTGTAATGGAGAATGCAAACAATTAGTAAAAATAATAGAAAACACTAGAGATCCAACTTACATGATGAATTACCTTGAATAGAACCATAGTTGCATATGTCTGTGACAAATTTAACAATTATTCAAATAAATTAGTATATAGGTGGAAGATAAATATTATTATTATATAAAAAGGGGAAATATTTAAATTGTATACTTACGTAACGCTTATAATGTTATAATTTCAGGTACCTATATTATTTTATTAAAGATTATTAATCATTTTTATTAACACTATTTGTTTAATTAAATCATGTATTAATTTATTTTACTAACCACAATTAAAATTGTAATATGAATAAAAGAAAAAAAAAACAATAATAATAATAATGATGACATTAAAAATTGTAAAATGCTCACATTATTGTAATCAAATGTAATACTATAATCAAATTGTAAACTGTATACAAAATTTAAATGTCAATGTAAACAATGTAATTCAGCCATTGTAAACTATTAATTAACGATGTTAAAGATTCTTAACCCTTAAAGGTTAACAATCTTTTTTTTGGTAGGGAGGTGTAATGGGATTACGCAATATTATATATTTGCTCATAATAACAACCAGGAATGCGACCACACCCAAAAGTGTTTTCGACTACGAATACCACTTTCATAGTCGTAAGGTCCATATCAAGGACGACTGTACACGCGCCGCTCACTTTCAAAGGACGCCGCCACCATATATATAGGGGACAGCGAGACAGCCTGAGTTAGATGTATCCAGAGACGAGAACACCACACGACTCGCTTAGCCGCCCAGCCATCACACACGACTTACACGGAGATTATCAACTTCGGAACGAGCCACAATTTCACTACAATCAACACTATTATTCTGCTTGTTTTGTCTGGTTTAATATAATACATTTGATTACCATTCTAATTGACTATTATTATTTATCAAGTACACCAGCTTTTGGATTCCTGAAGGGCCGCATGTAACAGTTCTGTACAAGAATTTTCACTATCATCATGAGCATAACTTTTGCCCGGTGCTACATGTAGTTTCTTTCTTTTATTTCTCAGAGGTTGAACAGTTTCTGATCTTTTGGCACTCAAATGCTGAATAAAGGTTTCTTCGATTGAGGAATTATTATTTTCAGAATTTGGAAGTCTTCCTAATAATTCATTTACATTACAAGGATATATTCCACATTTTTTAAAACCATTTTGTAATGTTGTTGCCATTGTAGGCTGTAATACATTTAATAACTGCTTTAATAATGCAGGGAATGATTGTTTTTGCAACACAGTATTTTTTAAACCTTCTTCCATTCGGATAATATTTTTCGCCAGTCCACCTTCATTGGATGGAAAAATGCAACATCCAATGGTTGCGTAAGGTGTGTGCTATTTGGAGGGAGGCACACAAAGTATATATTTTCTTTTTTACAAATGTCAATAATATAAGAAGATAAATGTGAAGATAAATTATCCCCTATGACAACTTTTTTCCCCGGGTTTTTTTTTAAATGACGCAGAAGTGTTTTTTCAAACCAATCTTGGAATATGTTTGCATCAAACCAGCCTGAAGGACTAGTGTTATACCGACAATTTTTGGGACCATTTTGTGTCCAAGGTTCCCACAGACCTTTAGCTTTGTATACAACATAAGGAGGTAATATTTCTCCTTTAGCATTTCCACACATCATAAGACTAATAGCAACTTTAGAAGTGTTGCATATTCGTTCTGGATATTTACTTCCTCGCTTAACTAAGACTTTTTTTTGACCAGGGTTGTCAGTCAAATTAGTTTCATCGTAATTATAAACATTTTCAGGAAGTACACCAGACAGAGTTTCCTTTAAATTTAATATATAATTTTCTAAAATTTCTTTATCAATTGCAGCTCTTGTCCTCTTAATATTTGAAGCCAATCGAATACTTAGGTTCTTATGGCGCTTTATAAAATTTGCGGTCCAAGACAGCCCTGGTAAATTGTTTTTAAACACACTAACCTTTCTACCAATTCTATCCAAATATGATTTTACAATATGTCTTAAATCAGTTTTGTCAATAGGAAATCCATAGTTACTCATAACTATTATATGGTCAACAAAACTTTTCTCCTCGTTGGTAGAAAATATATCTGGACGACCAATCTTTGAATTGTGAAGGTCTTTAAGTTTGTAGTTTATAGTTCTACGCGAAATACCATATGCACGTGCAGCTTCTCTTTGTGTCTTGATCTTATTTTTTACTTCATTTAGGCATTTTTCTAATTGTTCATCACTATAATTTCTGTAGGTTCGTGAACCTAATTGTTTTTTGTATTTGTTCGGCATCCTCTAAAAATAATTAAATAACATTAGGTACCTAATTTACACATTATTTAACATGTTGTAAAAAAAAAACAAAACATTGCACCAAATATTGGTTGGTGCAAAGTTAGCAAAAAAAAATCAAATTTAAATATATTTCACTATTTAAATTTATAAACATAATAAAACAATGTCAAATCGATTAAAATTATACATAAACTTAATCTGCACTACATATAAGATATAATTTTGAATGTCTTACCAGTATTAAAAATTAATTTTTTGACGAAATCTGCCTATTTTGTATGAAATGGTTTTTGTGTGTTTGATAACACGGCTTATCACTTAAACACAGTTTGGAGGTAAATCAATGATTTGAAGTTGTATTGTATTTACGGAACGTTTGTTGATCAAGAAACATTAAAAGCAGAGTTCCTTAAATTTTGTAATGTGTATGAATTATTTGAGAAAACAACTATTCTAACTGAACATTTTCACGTTTCTGACAAAAGTGATACAGAAAGCATTAGTTCATTTGAAGAGGAGACTGATCAAGAACAGGAATTTGAGTTACCTAAGCGCAAGCAAATAAATCCAATAAATATCGGTAGCTTGAAAACTATTTTCAAAGTGTTAAAAAATGGTGGTTTGGGAAATACATTTCCATCACTAGATGCTGCCCTGAGGATATCTCTGACAATTCCATTATCTAGTGCTTCTACAGAAAGGTCATTTTCCAAATTGAAAATCATAAAATCTAGACTTCGCACGACTATGTCTCAAGCTAGATTGGAAGACCTTATGGTCATAAGTTGTGAACAAGATATTGTTGATGAAATGGATCATGAAGAAATTCTCCACAAGTTTGCAGCCAATAGCATTACATTAACAAAATATTTAATTTAATAATTAATTTTTAATATTACAATTTACAATGTTATACCTGTTTGTAATTTGACAAAGAATAATATACAATCATACATAAATTACATATGATATCATTATATTAAAGTTTAATTGAATGTAATTTTATATATTGGGTGAAGATCATCACATAAAAAATGTTAAGACTATGTAAGGTATTGCCATATAGTTTTTTGTAGGTATACAATATTTGAAAATTCCAAGGCTCTTATGGCAAAAATAGTCATGAAGTAACATGATGGGTGGGTGGGTGGGTGGTTGTTTTTAAGGTTTCGCTACACCTATATTTTTAAGGATAGCCGCCACTGGTACGTTGTGTTCTCACGAGTGCGGTACTCGGAATCAATAAAAGTTGGTATGTACGGCGGTGACGACGGTTGAATTATCACAAGGAATATAGTGTATTCAGACGTGTTATGATCGGCCGTTTTTGTTCAACCTTAACTTGAGCAGTGCAATTACACTTAATACTTATTAGTTATTACAGTCTAAATCACTTATGCCGATAATTTTTAATTATTTGCTATAAGTTTAGCCGTCGCTATATGCGACAGCGGGTACCTGTGTGGTCCTTGTGGAGAGAAAGTTTGACAACCTCCCCGTGGTTCTCTCTGGATGCTTATTCACTGCAAAGTGAATTCGTAACTAATGTCAAACGTTTTGAAATTAAATTAATTAACTGGTTTTCAGCATACTTATAGAATTAACATTTTCAGGCTGTTGAAAAATGGTGAACAACTGTGTTTGGTGTGGAAACATTGATGCCGCCATGGAGTTTCTATACACAAGTAAGTATGAACCATTTACGTCCCAATGAACATGACCGTTACACTCACATTCACATTTACATTTAGGTTTCGACGGATATGTACCCAGTTCGTGCAACACCAAGGGGTCACAAGTCTATCAAGCTGTGTTCGAGGTTTTTTGTTTCTGGAGACTTCTCGACACAACACTGAGGTTATTATGAATAGTGCATTAGTATTTGTTCATTTCCCACACACATCAAAACCACCAACATGTGTTTCATTTGTATTAATCACAACTTAATACTCTTATAACAATTTACTTTCATTAACCAAATGCTTTTAATGTTTATATTTTATTGTAAAACCTTATATTCATGAGTATACTTCGATATTCTTCATTATAAAGGTTAATGCATTTGATTTTCTGTGATCACTGTTAACTATTACTTGAGAACTATTATATGTTATATGTGTTATTCTTATTCACTATTCACTATACAATTTAATATTTTTGTCATGTTCTCATGTTATCAGAAATATTTCATTGACTTTTTTTTTTAATGTTTAACTACCCCGTGTTCAATTCATGTTCACATAATATCTAAACAGAATACTCTTATATGTATAACGCATTCATTTTAACTTAGACTAATATGCGTTCAAAAAAATTCATAAACCTTATTAGATAACCCCAATATTGCTTTAATAGTGTTATTAACTTTTATAATGGTTTTATAAAGATATACTGACGTTGTGCTTAAAGTATTTTTACCAAACAAAATGACAAAATTGATTCTGCCTCAATCTTTAAAGAACTACATTATACTATAAGCTTATTCATTAAATTAATGAACTGGTATATTGTATTTTTGGGCTGTTTTGTGTGGAAACATTGAGATACAAACCACAACATGACAGGCCAACACAGCACTGCACTGCTACCTTCAACAGTGATATTATTGGTTCAGTTCCCACTCTGTGTTTCATTCATGTTAACCACAACTGAAAACCCTTAGAAACATTTTTGAAATGACACCCAACAAAATGACAAATGCTTTTAATGTATAACCTAATGTATGTATTTGTTTTACTTCTTATTGTTAAACCTTATATTACCAAATAAGACAAATTTAATTCTGTGATCACTGTAAATTTTGTCGCTGTATTTAACTTAAAATATTAATTATGTTATTGTATAACCTTATATTCGTACTTCAATGTCTATGGACGACTGTCAATGTTCTATATTATAACAGTATGATTTTCCTTTGTATTTTGTTTCTTAAGTATCAGTATTAAAATTAGTCAAATTATATTAACCTCAACATTTTGTAACATAGTGATACACTATCTATTTGTTCAATCCTAATTGTAATTACCTTTTAACTATGTAACATTGTGTTCGTACTGTAAAATACCTACAATACATTGAATTTTTTATTTTTTATTGTCGATACATGAAAACTACATATACATGTGATATCCTCAAATGGTGTAACTATCCTTAAAATATTGTATAATTTGTCATCATTTTGATGTGGTTGGCATGCAAAAATTTAGTATACATATCATTTGTATACTACTTTATATAATTTTTATTTAATTTATTATTATTATAATTTTAATTGTATTAAGTTTAATGTTTAATAAAGGTAAGAAAATCCGAGGCCCGAGTGCTGGCGCGGGGCCTGCCCCCGCTCCTCATCATTGTCTCGCCGTCTGATGGGGGACCGGTCACGCCGCTGGATGGGGGAACGGCCACGCCGTCTGATGGGTAGGGATGGCAACGATATATCGATATATCGATATTTTTCAGTGATGGGGACCTACCTCGCCACCGGGGGGGGGGGTCTCGCCGCCGGCGGGGGGACGAGTCACTTTCGGTTTTTTTGTTCCTGCCTGCATAGTTAATAATATTTTAGATGCATTGCTTACGATCACATATATAATATACAAAAAATACACTTACAATGGCGGACCAGGTGGCCAATTTTGCGGCAATTGTAGCACCCTGAAAAAGAAAAGCGGACAACATTACTATGTTTATCATTGTGTATACGTAATGACAATTGACAATATTTATACATACTTTTGGGTGCTACAATGCCACCCTTCGTTTTTTGGTTGGTTACCGCAGCCACCGTCACCGTACAATTTGTGAATTTGAACATTCTACAACGAAAAATTAACATTAGTAAAGTTGTCAAAAAAAACAAAAAAAAAAAAAAGTGAAAAATATAATAAAGTAACGTGTACTCACTTCGACTGGTCGAATGGTCGATGGCAAATAAATATAGGATTGATTCCACCGTTTAGTTTTGCCTTGCATTTTACGTATTTACCGATGTCATTACCAACACCGCGGGTCTGTCAAAATCGTTGACCAGCTTATTGAAAATAAATTAAATTAGATTGGCAACTTTTGGTATTACTGTTGTCATGTGGTGGCGGAGTAGAGGGCGAAAAGCGCAGTGGACCTGGGTCGGCTCTCCGATCCGACATCGGGCGACTTTCTTCGACGAGCGTCTGTGCTAAACGTTCGTTTTTTCGTTATTGCGTATACTACTACACAAATTTGCACTTTTTTTTCTTACCTTTTTTTACTACCTTTTTTTTTTTTACTACGTTTGGCGTTTTGTAGACTGGTGAGTGCTATTTTTTTTATTATTTAAAAGCTTAATTGTTCACCCCGTGTACTTATACATCATTACAGTCACCCAATTATTAAGACGTTACGCCTTATTTAAAAAGCGACATTCATTGTTTCCCGAGCGTGCTCTCTCAAAATCCAAACTTGGTGTCTCGAAGGTGTCGCGTTTTTTTATTTGCATTTCAATGTGTGATGTCATTTCTACATTCCTTCCCGAGATCATCGGTCGGTAGTTATTGAAATACATTCCCGTTACGTACGTCGCGCTTTTTCACCGCGACTTTTTTTTGGATTCTCTTCTTACGCTTTTGTTTTGTAATTCTGGAAAGTTTCTTAAACATTGTTTTCTGTGTATATTATGCGTACCATCATTTACACACTTTTTCTAAATATAACACAAAACTCTTGGAATTCTCGTGTTGCCGTATCATCGGGCACTGATAAGTGATAACAACAGTCAATATTGCATAATAACGATATAACGACGCCCAGTGTCGTGTATGCGTAAAAGATACATATATTATATTACACTTACTTATTATTCACTATTTATTGTACATATTTTTAATAATAAAAATACAGATGTTATTTAACATATAATATAAGTTATTCACTACGTTTACAATATGATGCTATTATATATTATTTTCTTTAAAATGTCAAAGTCAAGGCACTTAACCATGGTTCGATTATGTGTGATC